CTTTTTAAACCTACAAAATGGCGGTGCCCTCCGGACCGGCAAAAGTCCACAGCTCAGCCCACCTTTCTCTTCACCTTCTCTGTTCCCCAGCCACTGTGCACAGTCTTCCATGCAGGCCCTGGCTAGCAGGGTGATTTTTGGGTTAATTCTTAGGCCCTACCACCACTCGGGAATCTCCAAGCCCTGTCGTCTGTGCTGTCTGGGTCGCTCAGGCTGCTGCCAGACTGCAGCTGTGTGTGTGTCCTTTTTTGGTATTTTTCACGCAAATTCTTCTGCTAGTTGGGATTGAGTCCACTTTTGTATCCTTCCCTTCAAGGCTCAGGGGTCCAAGATTATCTTCTGTGTCTGTGTTAGTTGGTTTCTCTTTTCTTTGTTGAAGAGGGTCTGTGCAGTCCTTCTGCCTAGTCCGCCCTCTTGCCGGAACTTAGCACCTGTCTTTCTCACACCATGTTCCCCTTCTAGACTGCCTAATACACACTTCAGTTTGCACCTGTTCCCAATACACCTGTTCAATTCCCATTTTTTTAAAAAGCCCATCTACTCCAGCCCCTTGTATCGCACTGCTTACCCATCATGACCTGTTGGTTATGTCAACGTTTCAAACTCGTGTCTAAGCGTAAACTCGTGATTTAAGCTCCTCGCTATCATCCCCCCCACACACCCTGCTGCCTCAGTTTCTCTGGTCTTCCTCTGTTCCTTGTCTCAGTAAGTGGCCTCACTGTCCATTTGGCTGCCAAAGTCATGACCTGAGCCCTACCCCATGTTCCCAATCCCACCTCCCACTTCTACTGTCTGCCCTCAACTCTAACTCTCTCAAAGTCTACTTCATCCTAGTTGGAGCTCACCTGGATGCTGGTTCAACTGCTCTCCAATCTGTCCTCCCCAGTGCCGTCAAAATACTTTTCTCAAAATGTAAAGTTGGTATCTCGCCCTTGTTACAAATGTCCCAGAAACTTCCCATTATAATGAGAATTGGGACAAAATTTTCTGGCTTACCAGCTCCTGTATGACCTGGCCCCAACACAAGGGTCCCCAGAAAACACTTGTTACCATGTAATGGCTTTTGACCTTCCCTTGATGGAAAATGGATTCATCACAACCATGAAGACAGTTACATCAGTGTGTTGCCCCTTCCCTGGAATTACTGTACGAGGAAGGAGAAATTTTCATACTCAGAAAATGTCTTGCTCAGAGCCTCTTAGGAAACAACAGAATGGTGGTAAGTTTCAAAGATGGGTACAAGGAAGCTTACTGTTGTTCTGTGTTTTCCTCAACTTTTATAAGTTAAAGGAAAGAAAAGAACCTCTCTGGAGGTGGTTCTGGCTGACCTGTTTCTTGTTAGTAAGTCAAGACACTTGTCTTCTTGAGCTGGAGGAGCGGAGGCAGGGTCACGGCCGAGCCGTCCCCTGGGTGCACCCGTGGCTTTTGTCTCTGGACTCTCAGCTCTGCCTCGGCTTGCAGGCAGGTCTTGGCTCAGACAGCGGAGGCTCATCCTTCAGAGGGCTGGGTAATAGCTGAGTGCTGCCAAGCTCCGTGACAGGGAGCCACAGGACAGTGAAAACTGTCCACTTTAATTAAAAGGACACAGCCCAGGACGGAGAGGCAGCCCCTAACTCTGGCCAGATGCTGCCCTCTCTCCAGCCCCACCCCACACGTTTTGTCCCCTTGAGCTGCATCTGCTTGCTTCTGGTCCCTTGTACTCACCCTGTTCCACTGACCAGGCCTTTCATGCAACTTCTGTTTGGAGCACGTCTCCCCTAATCAGCAAGTGAACCCCCGTTGATCCTTCAGAACTCATTTCAAGCATCCTTCCTCAGGGATCCTTTCTCCTACTGGGTCAAATCTCCCGTTTAGGCAAGTGAAGCAGTGTTCTGACTCCTCCAAAACACTTACGTCACTGAAGTCTTACCTTTCTTTGTGTGATTATCTGATTGACTTTCTGCCTCAGCAGTGCACTGTCAGCTCCCTGAGAGCAAGGACCAGGCCCATTCATTCACTCCTCCGCCCAGCACTATACAGAGCGCCTGGCCCATGCAGACGTTTCAGTAAATTCATCTGACGAACAGATGATGCTCAAAAACAGTAGCTTTCGTTCTTTTTGCTCCAAAGCTCCAGGCACAGAACTGAGACAGCAGAAATGACAGGAAAGCAGACATCTATGCAGAAGAGACTTTTAATGCAATGGCTTAAACACAGTTCAACAATATCAGAATTCAGTTCAAATAACGTCAAAATATTACAAAGAACAAGCAAGGCCTTGCCCTGAGCGGAAGGGCACCGACCTCAAGGCAGCCACCTTCCCCTCCCGCCTCCGAGTGGACGGCTGTAACAACTGGGCTCTTAAACAGCTTGCACCTCCGTGCAGGAGGCAGCAGCAGAGAGAATCAAAAACTCGGCAAGGGTCAGGGCTCTGCCTGCCTGTCCAAAGGGCCCAGACAAAGGCAGTGGGGCTCAGAACACAGGAGACTGCAGAGGGCAAGGGGCAGCAGCACACTGGGAGGGGAGGAGGGCGCAGCCCTGGAGAACCAGCTCAACAGGCTGCTTTGGAGGTGGGGGGCCGGGGTTTTCTAGCCTATCCTCACCCCTAACCTGCAATCCTGCTCAAGGAGCTCAGGGCTGCTCTGATGAGGTGGTCCATCACAGTGAGGCAGGGCCTGCTGAGGCTACAAAGGCAGCATGCAGGCTGGGGCACGCTCGGGGCAGGATAAGCCAGGGCCTTCGCCAATAAGGACCTGTTTGTGTGACCCACTGGCTGCTGAGGTAGGAGGGAGTGGGCATGGGCCTCACACTTCCAGCTCTTGTGCTGACCTTTTCCAGCAAAAGTACACTGAGCTTAATCTGAATAAGCAGAGCCTCCTGGCCGGGAGAAGAGGCAGGAAGTAGTGGCCTCTGGAGGAGGGAAGGGTGTTAAAGAGCTTGCTCTGGGGCATGCTGGGTCTCAGGAGCAGGCACAGAGGAAGGGGGCCCCTGGCTTCTCTGGGTAAGGTCAGGCAGAGATTTCCTGCTGCCCTCTGGGGGTTTTATTTCAAGCTCTGGTTAACTTCCTGCTGCAACTTCTGTGCAGGGCCATTCTTGGGTTCAATTTGCAGGAGGCTGCTGATGTCTGCAAGGCTGGCTTTATAGTCCTAACAGAAGAGAGGAAAAGGGTGTAGGGAAGGTATCCTGATTGAGTTGATGAGCGCAAACTGGGATGGGGACAGCTGCTGAGACAGCAGAAGGGTCTGGAAGCCCAGCCTGCAGGCTTGCCCTGAGCTACCCTGGGGGCCCTGGTAGAAGGAAAAGTGGCAGACACCCCTCACCGTGACTACTTAGGAAGTGCCACCACAGGCGCACATTCTGTAGCTACATTGGTACCTTTGTTCAGGATCTTTTTACCTTGAGTGCCTTGTAAGCTTGAGCCCGTCGGTAAAATGCTTTCACATTCTTCCCATCCAGCTTGAGGGCATCTGTGCAGTCCTTCACTGCTTCCTTGTATTGCTTCAGGGTCAGATAGCAGAGTGCTCTGATAGGGACAGACCATCTCAATGGTTGTCAGTCACTTCTCGGGGGCCACCCACAAGCCACAAAGTACTTGGAGGAGTGATCTAAGATTTGCTCAACGCCTACTCTGCTGGATGCTTTGTATGTTCTAAGAGCCTCAAACACACTGCCTTGGAGGATGGGTGAAAGGGCCTGCCCAAGGTACCACTGCTAGGATTCAAACCAGGTCTGCGTGACACTGGCTCCCGATCTTGTTTAGTTTTGTCGCTGTACTTCACGCTCACACATACTGTGCTCTCTCAAGCAAAGACAAGGCTTCCGGAAGCCTTCCCCTTAACAGATTATACAAAATTATCTACCTACAAAACCAAACGCATAGGCAACTACTGAACTCTGGTTCATGATATACATGCAAACATGTTTAGAGGTGAAATGTAAAGACGTCTGCAACTTATTTTGAAATTCAGGGCAAAAAGAGAATTGAAAAAAGCCGAAGACTCTGCACTGTTCCATATGCTATGCCCAAGGCTAATAAGCATTAAAACAGAGTTCAGGATGTGGTATAACTTCAGCCACGATGGATGAAAAAATTCAATTTCGTGTAAAATTACCAGTCTTCTAAATCAATGCAATCACAACCAAAAGCCCAACATGGTATCTCTTGAAACTTATGAAAATGCTCTTGAGGCTTAGCTATGACAGCAAACATGGGACAATAGCTAAGGATCCTTAATGCAAGAGAATGAGGACAAGACCAGCCCTAAAGATATTATAAAGCAATAGTAATTAAAACTGTGTGGCACAGACAAATGTGCATGAAGAATAGTATCCAGGAAAAAAAAAAATTGCCTAGGTGTGAAAATCCAGGAAAATGGCTTAACAGAGGTCCCCTGAGGAGGAAGTTTTAGATGATGATGCCACCCAAAAATGAAAAAATGGGCTGCTGACCCACTTTCCAGTTAGCTCGGCAGCCTAAGGCACCCCTGGGCCAACCAGCCAGTAAAAGTAAAGCCCCCAAATTCCTGGAATCAAAACTCAAAAATCTAAAACCTTTACAAACAAAAAGTTATTTTTTCAACTCATTGGGCAGCAAAGCCTGACCTGAACTGACATGAGGCTACTTTGCCTCTGTTTATCCCAACTTCATGAAAGTGAAATTTGTTTCACTGCAGAAATACTAGTATCTGACTAACATGGCAAGCTGCCCCAGACCCTGCTGGGGTGCAATGTAATTCAGTAGATGAATTACAGCTCTGGAATTCATATTACTTTTCCTAAAATTGGAAATGTTCTAAAACATGTTTTATCCCAAGGGTTTTGGATAAGGAATAGCGAACGACATCAGATCCAAGAATTCTGAACTGGACAGCAGTATGTGTGTGTGCTAGGGAAAGATCTCTGAGGCAAAGCTCCAATCCTGGCCCCATTGTTCACTGGCTGGGTGAGCAGCGGCAAAGCCCTTCCCTCCTCTGAGCCTCTTTCCTCCATTTTAATACCACCTACACCTCCAAGAGTTCTTGCAGGGTGGTGATACCATGCAGTCAGAGCGACCGAGCCCATGCTCCCAGGCCCTCATCTGATGGTGTAAAAATCAGACCGCCAATAGCAGCTCCTGGCATGGGGCCTCGTATAGTCCCCCCAAGGCTAGCCCCCTCAGCCAGACTGGTCACCTCTCTTGTTCCCAGCTGGCAACAGTGTCTCCACACCCTGGTTCTGGGCCAGTGCCAACGTTTCTAACAGAAGGCTGTGGGAGAAGCCGTGGGGTGGGAGTGGGGGAAGGTGCAGAGGCTAAGAGCCTGTGCTCAACTTGTGTCTGCAGAGCAAGCCTGCTGCCGTCCCTCACGATGTACGCTTATTTGGGCTGGTAATGAAAGTCCAGGACAAGGCGGCCAACAGCCCCAGGCTACCCTTTGGCATTAGTTTCTACCCATTTAAGAGAGAGACAATGCCACTGGTTATACCTACCTCACAGTGCCTGACACAGGTGTGAATGCATACTTTGATTTGTAACATATTGAATAAATATGGTAGGAATGAAGAGCCCACCATAGCCAAGTGAAGACTATGAGATGGAACACCCAGTGCCCCGGCATTCCCCAGGCCAGCAGCTGTGCTGTGTAGACGATACCTGTTGGTATAGGTGGCAGATTCCAGGTTACTAAATGAGAGGCTTTCACTGTACTTCTCGATAGCTTTCTTATGGTTTCCCTTCTTTACAAACGCATTGCCCTCTTCCTTCAGAACCTTGGCTCTCTCCACATCTCCAGCAGAAGGCACTAGATACAAATTCAAAGAGGAAAAACACCATGGAGCAGGCCCCACGAGGCCAGTGGGATCTCTTCAGCAGCATCTCTTCCAGGTTGTGTCCGCCCTGCTCCTCAGGGGTGTGCTACACTGTAAAGCATCTCCCTGGTTAATGATTTCTCCCCAGTGAATGGCTGGGAACTCCTGATATAAACATATTTATACCTGCATGTAATAACATACATATGACATAAGCAACTCAGGTTCTAGCCTAGGTACTGACACTTAGCAGCTGGAAGATCTTGTGTGACCAAACTAATTCTATCAGGCTTCAAATTCCTCCAATACAGTGGGAACAACAACTATTCCACAACAGGCTATTTTCAGGATCAAATCTGAGAATATACAAGAAAGCACCAAACACTCTAAACTTAGAACAGGCAAACATAAGTGCTGATAAACCAGCACCAGGCAAAGAAAGGAGACAGCTCCTGGCTTCCAGGAAAGGGCAGAAGGGGGCCCATTTTTCCTCAAGTCTTGTTTGGTCTGCAGCTACAAGTATCCTTCCTCATCTAACTGGCAGCTGTGCCCCAGCCCCCACGGTGAAACACACGCTGCTCGGCCCCACTGGACCACTGCAGCCCCAGCCCCTACAGCACCTGCTCTTGTAATTTTTAAACACTATAAACCACGGAATTTTTATGACAGGGTAAGGTGTTAGGAATAAAACTAACACCCCTGAACTGATCCCTAGCTTAAGAAACAGAACATCACTAAGACCTCTGAAGCCCTACGGCCCCACCCTAACTCTGGAGGGCACTGTTACCCTGAACCCTGCGCTTCTTTCCCTTGCCTTGTTCTAAGTTTAACTGTGCATGATAGTGTCTATAAGTCACTTTTTTAAACAGTTTTGCTTTGTTGTTGTCAGTTGCCATCACGGTGGCCCCTGACTCACGGTGACCCCGTGCCCAACAGAACAGAAGGCCGTCCAGTCCTGCACATCCTCATGACTGACTGATGACCAGGCAGGCCACTGTGATCCTGAAGATGTTTTCACTGGCTGCTTGTTTGGAACAAGACCACCAGGCCTTTTTTTTTCCTGTTCAGCATCACAGCAACCTGCAAGCCTCTCCTGACACACGGGGTAGCTGTGCAAGAGGCATTCACTGGCCAGGAATCAACTCTGGAGCCCCTCCCACATGGCAGGGGAGAGTTCCACCACTAAACCACATGGCTCCAGCTAGGGAAGACAGGAATACTTACCAGGCTCCCACAAATCAAAGTGAATCCAACCCATGCAGAGACAGGAAGGAGAAGAGGAGAAGCTACCCTCCTCTAACATCCCCAGGTAATTTACAGGGCTCTCTGTCCTTCCCTGTCCTCCATACCTCGAGCATGCTGGGCTGAGACCACTCTCCGGATCAGTATGGGAGCCTGCAGGTGAGCCCCGGCCTGCAGAACGACTCGTCTTCAAGCCATCTTACACGGCTGAGGCAGACAGGTTCCCATTTCTAGCTACCTGGCTTTGATCTCCCTTCTCTTACTCATCCTCCTCCAGGAATGCACCCTTCCCTCAGACTGTGTGTGTGTTTTTGGAAAAGGAGCACCCTCCAGCCCTCGGGTGGAGCAGGTGGCTTAGGGTGGAGCTGATCACAAAAATCTCATCCCGTGGTCACATCACTAGTTCAGGGAATGACCTGCGACCAAACGTGGGCCAGAAGAAATTGAGAAAATACGTGAGCTAGGGGCTCTGGGGACAGAAATCTTCTCTTTTCCTAGAAAGTATCAGAAAAAGGTTTTCTTCCCATCCTTTCCCAGGCTGTAGGTGTGGTGTACAGATGTGAGGCCAGAAACAGCTACAGCTATTTTACTACAAGGATTGACAACGGAGAACTGAGAGAAGTGCAGAGAAATGGAGCAGAGTCTGAAGAGATAATGACATGCTTGTTCAAACCTTGCCTGAACCTGAATCTCTGGGCTGTTTAGTTGTATTATTTTTACCACATTGAGTTTTTGTTCTTGGAACCAAGGAACCAAAAACATCCTGATACTGCCAGATGAGCGAGGGCCCTAACACTGGACATGCATGTGCCACACTGGGAGTTCTACATGCCTTAGAGCATTTCATCCTTACAGCTGCCAGGCAGGTTTTCTCATCACCCTTACTGTACAGCTAAGGAAAGAGTCCATAAGAGGTTATACCTTTTTGTTGTCGTTTTACTTCTATTGTAGGATTACTTTCAGAATTCAGCTTAAACGAGGCTAATTTTCATAGGACTACTCAAAAGAGAAAGGAGCTCTGGTGGTGCAGTGATTAAAGCATTCAGCTAACCAAAAGGTTGGCGGTTTGAACCCACCAGCCACTCCACAGGAAAAAGATGAGGCAGTCTGTTTCCATAGAGATTTACAGTCTTGGAAACCCTATGGGGCAGTTCAACTCTGTCCTATAGGGTGGCTATGAATTGGAACTGACTCAATGACAGTGGGTTTGGTTTTTCATTTTATTGGGGGCAGGGGCTAAAGAAGTGATCATGGGAAATAGTGAGGCTCTCTGGGACAGGGAGTCATACCTTACCTTTGTTCTTTGCTTTTGTGGTTTCTTTGCATTTGCTTTTAGCTGAATCTTTGTGGTTCTCTGATGGCATGGCATCCCATCTCTTCTGAGCTGAAACAGGCACCAACGGGGTAGGAGGCAGCTTCTGACGCCAAGTGGGCCCAAGTGAGTCCATGAGAGCCCTGGTCATTCTGGAAAGGAAGGCAAGACTGCAGGGAGGCCTCCAGTGAGGCCGGGAAGGGGTTCCTCCCTCCTACACTCATGGGAGGAAGGCTCTTTCAGAAGAGCCAGCATTCTCTCATCCTCCTCCTGGTCTGATCCTTCTCTGTCCCTCCTCATGCTGCAGGGAAGAAACAGGAACTGCCACCCACACATGCCTTCTCAGATTAGCCACCAGGGACACTCTTTCCCTGCCTATCCCTCAAGGCTTGGTCCCACTGTGTCACCTTCAAAGTGGTGATCTGTTGTTGCCCTCATAAGACCACACATTCCCCAAGAAAGGATCACGTATTCTAATTATTTTGTATTTTCTCAATGGATCTGGTACAAGGCCATGCAAGTACTTCACATTTGATAACTACTTGAGATTTTTTAAAAATGCAAATCGTCCTTTACATTAGGTAGATATACTCCTTGGAGAGATGAATCATGAGAGAATAGAAGGGCCATGTATGCACAGGGACACAGCTTGGGGGGCAGGAGTACATGGAGGGAAGGATACAGGGAAGGAGGTAACTATGGGGAAGAAGTGGGAGGGAGGCTGTTGCATTGTGGGAAATTGCAGTCAATGTCATGAGATAAGTTGTATGTGAACTGCTGTATGGAAATTGAATTTGCTCTGTAGCTTTTACCCAAATCACAATTAAAAAAAAAAAAAAGACTAAGATGCAAGGGAAAAAAAATGCAAAAATATCAGGTCATTCTCAAATCTTAAAATCCTTCAGTGATTGCCATTTCCCTAGGCTAACATGACCTGTGAGATCTGGTCCCTCCCTCATCTTCATCCTGAATCACCTTCCCTCTTGGTCCTTATGTCCAAGCCTTTGTACATGTCTTTTCCTCTCCCACTTTTCATTCCCCGTTCACCATTCCCACCTTCTAGACCCAGCTAAGTCCTACTCATTCCTTAGTTCTTGGCTTAAAGTGCTGCCCATGTTGTTACCTGATCTGCAATACTACATAATCACCTGCAACGCCCCCACGCCAGGCCCTACAAACACGTGTTGAATGACTGAATAAGGTCAACTGTATATTCTTTCTGCTCCTACAACCACATTCCTACGTGCTACTAGAATGAACACTGCATAGGTTGGTATCACTACAAATTCATGGTCTCCTAACGAAGCCCCCACAGGTGTTTTCCTGGTTGGCCCAGCTATTTTAAACCTCAGCTCTCCTCAACCCATCTCCTTTCTCAAAGCAAACTTCCTTATAACCTAAGCAAAAACCTACCTGCATGGGCTCTACAACACCCTCCTAGTTCTTTCCTGTCACAAGAGCACAGAGGACCAAGGCCAACCCGTTTATCTCGTTTCTGGATCCATCTCCTGCTGTATCTGAGGGCCCTCCCTCAGCCAGCATCACCCTCGCCTAGATCTTCATCCTCTTTCTCAACTCCAACCATCAGCATTTAATTCACTCGAAATCTTTTCTCACTTAATAAAACCCTTCCTGGACACCACTCTGCCACCGCAGTTGCACTCTCCTGCTTCCCTACACAGCCGGACTTCTTGAATCCACGGCCATCTGGTTGCTGACCCCACTGAACTGAATCAGTGACTTCATTGCTAAACCCTTGGCTACTTAAACTCATTCCCACATTTAACACTCCATCCTTCTGTCACCCTCATCCTTCTGAAAATGATCCCTTCCCTGCGACACTGAAAGCTCTGTGTCCCGCCTCTCGGCTGCTTTGCCTCCTTTCCAAGCTCCTCCCCCTGTCAGTGTCCCAAATGTGGTCTCAAAGTTCCATCCTCTTCCCATTACACACTTGCACGGTGGCGTTCTTTCAGCCCACTTCTTTGCTGATGACTCTAAAATCCGAATAGTAGGCCTGTGTCATTTTTCTCTTTTGCTCTAAACCCATGTAAATTCCCGCCACCTTCCTTACATCTCTGCTCTCATGTCTCAGTCACCTCCAGCTCAGTATTTCAACAACCTGGATAGCCTCTTCTGTTCCTCCCTTCTCAGCAGCAGCCCCTAACCACGAAAGCTGGTTGATGGTCTTCCGCAGTGTCCCTTGAATTGGTTCCATGGTTCTTCTCTTTCCACTATCTGCCCCCTCTCTCCTGGCTTACTGCTGCCCTCACCCTTGTAGCAAATTCCTGTTCTGTCTCTCTTCATGTTACCCCTCAACATGGCAGCCAATGAGCTTTCCTTCAAAATACAAACCTGCTCATGTTATCGACTGCTCAAGACCCTCTTTGATGACTCACTGTGCTCAGGATAAAGTCCCAGCCCCCAACAGCAGCCCCTTTGGGACTGACCCTCGCCAACCCAACTTTAGCTGAGCTCTCCACCTACAGCACTATGGGAAATGGACTCTTTACAGATCCTGTACAAGCCACACTCACTCACACTTGCACATCTGCCCTTTCTCCTTGCCCGCTTCCCACCCTGCATCTCTATTCATCTGCAGGCTCAGCTCACCTTCTCTGGAAAGCCCTCTCTGACACTTCCCTCCTCTCCCCAGCTGGCAAGATGCCTCCTCTGCCTCTTGCGCCCCCTAGGCGGCCCGTACCGCAGCACTGACCACACTGCTCATGCCTGCCTGCTTACTGACTGGTTTCTCCATCCGACCATTACCTCTACAAGGGCAGAAGAGCTGGGTCTTATTCATCAGCCCAGGCCCTGGTGTGAAGTGCGGTACCTAATTGGCACTCACAAAATATCTGTTGAATGACAGACATTAAAAGGAGGCAAAGAGAAAGCAAAGGATGTTGAGAAACATCAAAGTGGATGTGTCAGAAAGGATGTACTATAAATACAGCCCAGGGAGTCCTGATAGAGTTTGCTATTGGTCGGGTGTGCCTGGCTGTCAAATAGCCATGCGAAGGGGGGAAACACAGCTAGTTACACAAATGAAGACCTCCATAAGATAGAAACCAGCAACTGCTCAGAAGATACAGAACTTGCCTGTTTTAAGTCCAAAAAGAAACTTCTCCTGAGATACCTCATGGAGTCACAGCAGCATCTTCCAACAATGTCCCTACTGCCTTGTGCTGCAGCTGCTTGTCTTACTCTCCCCTCCCCCACCTGATAGTTAGCACGTGTAGACAAGTAGGGTCTGTATTTCTTTTACTATTTTGGTTATCTCCCAGTAAGCTTGGCATAATACCTTAAACATGGCTCAGTAAGTATTACTGTGTAAATGCATTTTAGCATTTAAGCCAAAATATACATACATACATACATATACATATATATAAATTTTTTTCTCCATAATTCTGTCCCCTCAAATACCTGTTAAATACAAAAGCAGGTTCTTCTTTCATACATTCCCCCCACATAACCATCATCAGTTTTCTAATGCTGGTTTAAAAAGATTTCCCAGAAGGCATCCAAAGTGCTCACACAGACCCAGTCAAGGCCAGGGAGGTTCCACGGAGACTGCCTGTGGTGAACTAGGCTCACCTGTTGATGCCTTCCAGGGCTGATGTCATACTCTTATCAATCTGCAGGACAGTCATGTAGTCGACATAGGCCAGCGGGTACTTCTCCAGAGCCTCATAGGCAGCTGCCCGCCGCAGCAGGGGTTTAATGCCGAAGGGAACCAAGGCCAGTGCGCTGGAGTGGGAGGCAAGAATGTTAGCTGGGTGCTGAGCCACCAGGCTCCGCCGCAGTCCCTTCCAGGCAGGGTCGACTGGCTGAGAGAGACCATTAAAAGTATCAAACCTTACAACGGGGACGTCTTGACTTAGACTGAGGCAGGGAGGGGAAAGGGGTCAGAGAACCGCTAACATTGTGAAAATCCTGGGCATCTGGCACCATGGTCCCAGTCTCAGTCCCCTCAAAATCAAGAGCAAATGCCTCGTGGTTTTCACCATGCGACTATGTGTTTCTATCAAACAGTGGCCTGGGGGGAGTAATAGGCTTTGGACTCTTTCCTCTGCTATTAACCATGTGATCCGAGGCAAATCACTTTCCTGCCCGTCTTCTGCTTCCCAGCTCTTGCCCGGGATGGGTGGTAAACTTACCCCACAGAGTGGCTGTGAACACTCCATGAAGCAAACCTAGTACAGGCCTGGTACAAACCAACCTACCCAGGCCCCATGAGCACGCTCACCTCTCTCCTCACCTGTCTAGCACAAGTATAAGCATCTAAGGCAATGTCACAGGATATCCAATCTGAGAACACACTGATGGTTTGCCTATGAGTTTAGCAATGATGAGAGAAGGCAGTAATAAAATGGCTTCGAGAAGGAAGATAATATGGGGAGTGTATCCAAGACCATATATAGGGTTGGCAGACAATGGTCCTATAAGTTTATGTGAATGATCAGAATTCCCAGGTGTATAGTAGAGCTGACAAGGGGCAAGGTTATGGTCATTGCTTGGTCATAGCCAGCTACCCAGAGGGACCGAGTAGTTGATCCTGCGGGCTTGGGACCATAGTCGCAGGGGACATCAAGCTCAATTGGCATAACATACTATACAAAACATTGTTCCACCTCCTACTTTGGCGAGTAGCGACTGGGATCTTAAAAGCTAGCAAGCTGCCATCTAGATGCAACAATGGGTGTCTCCTTGTCAAGAAGAAAGAAGAAAACCACATGAATGGAAACAATCAGTCCTAGTAACTGGTACACCATCTAATCTGCAACCTATACAACTATGAGACCAGAAGAACTAGATGGTGTCCAGCTACCACTGTCATCCACTTGGAAGGGATGTAGGAGATCCTGCATAGAGAGGGAGAACAATGTGGAACAAAACCCAAAATCATTTGGAGGCAAAAAAAAAAAAAAAAAGGTGGGGGGGGGGACCAGGTTTGCTGGTCCAATAGAGCCTGGTGAAACCACTGAGACTATGGCCCCTAGCTGCCCTTCAGGTCTGGGATTGAACCCACACCTCTGGTTTCCAGCCAAACAAAGAACAGGCAAGTGAGTTAAACATTTACCTCAAGTAGACACACACCCTGGAGAGAACAATCATGGGAGAAGGAAGGGCTACTTATGCACAGGGAGACAGCTCAGGGCACAGAAGAGTATGGAGGGATGGACACTGGGAAGAGGTAACTATGGGGAGGAAGTGGGAGGGGAGCTGTTGCATTGTAAATTTTGGTCAATGACATGAGACAAAGTATATGTGAACTGCTGTATGAAAAGTGAATTTACTCTGTAAATCTTCACCCAAATCAAAATAAAATTAAAAAAAAAAAAAATCACCATAGGAAAAAAAAAGAAGGAAGATAATAAAAAATTTGTTTCATGTCTTCTAAGCAGAAGCCATTTAATTGATTCCAACTCATGGCAACCCCATATGTGTCAGAATAGAACTGTGGTCCACAGAGTCTTCAATGGCTGATTTTGTTTTAGAAGTACATTGGCAGGCCTTTCTTCTGAAGTATTTCTGGCTGGACTTGAATCTCTAATCTTCTGGTTAGCAACCCAGTGAGTTAAACCATTTGCACCACTCAGGGACACCTACAGTGGGCCATTGATAGACAGCACTTTCTCCTTTTGAGACATTTTATAAATCCCTATCTCTTCTTCCCTTCTCTTACAAACACACACACACACCTCCCCCCCAGGAAAACAACTGCGCAAGCCAGTCACTGGTCAGAAACTCTACTTCATCTCAAGACGTCAAGATCACAGAGATTTTAAGGCCTCTCTCCAACTTCCCACCCTACTTTTTTGATAGCAGCGGCAGTGCTGAGACAAGGCCACTGGACCAAATGGGGCATCCCATTCTTGATGACTTGGGCAAAGCCACATCCTAACATGTGTTGATGTAACTGGCAGGATCAGTCCAGAAAAGAAACAAGCCAGAGAGGCCCAGCCGCTTCTTCTGAGACCCTCAGGCATCTGGAAAGTTACTCTTGGCCACTTACGAAGTGCAATCTTTGATGCAGTCAGAGCAGTTTCCATTCTTCAAGTGGCACGCTGCACGGTTGGAGTACAGAACACTTTCTTCTTCAGGGTTCGAAGAACCTGCCCTGCTGGAGACTGAAAGAGCGAGGAGATAATCAGGTTGGGAACTGATGCTTGGGACACTGAACTGCATGTCCCACCCTAAACTGTCTGGGCTCTGCTGAAAGGCAGCAGAGATGACTGTAAACTGACCTGGCTTGTTGGCTTGACTGGCTGGCATGTTTGTCCTTCTTACATGAGAGTGAGGACACTGAGCTTTCTGCCATTCACAAGGGAACCAAGTATCTTCTCTTACTCACCTACCACTGAACGTGGCATGCCAGGCAAAAGATAAACACGAAATAACTGGCTGTCTTGAAGATATCTGTGCTGTAACTACTTGTGTGTGTGTTTCATTTCATTAAAAAGGCATATAAACTAAAAAAAAAAAAAAAAGTAACAAAGGAAAAGAACAATACCACACATGCTTTAATAAATAGACTGGTCACGTGTTGTGGAGCTAGGAAAACACAAGAGACTAACTCTACTTTGTCCAATCTTAGAGGAGTTTGCCAGGAAAGTGTGATCGGTGTCTTGCAGGATAACAAAGAACTTAATCAGGGCAACGATTTAGGCTACCCAGTGGGGTGGAGAATTATTAAAGAGTAGAGAGTTCTCTAAGGAGCCCTGGTGGTGCAATGGTTAAGTGTTCAGCTGCTAACCTAAAGGTCAGTGGTTTGAACCCACTCAGTGGCTCAGGAAAAAGACCTGGTGATCTGCTTCGGTAAAGATTACACCCAGGAAAACCCTATGGGGCAGAGTTCTACTCTGTCCTGTGGGGCTGCTATGATTTGGAATCAACTTGACAGCACCCAGCAACAATAGACAGTTCCCTGAGACAGCTCTTCCCCTTAGCAATGTCAGAAGCACAAGTTTGTTTTATTTTTTCCCCACTGTGGCCTGTTATGGATAAATCAAGTTCCTCCAAAGTATGTGTTATGAACAGAAATTAAGGGATTTTGTGGAAACCAGATCAACCCTACAAGAAATGCTTAATGAAGTCCTTCCAATAGAGAACCCACAACAGAGAACAACAAAATCTGGACACAGGACATCAACACTAAAACAAATTAGAAATGGATGCTCAGAATAAGACCATAAAACATTGTACACTAAAAAACAAGGCAGTCAATCTACACATGACAACAGCAACTAACCAAACAGAGGGAATAAAAGTTCTAGGTACAAAACTTCCAAATGGAGAGGAAAACAGGACAATGTCCTCATAGAACAAACTGTTACAAAAATATAGAGACAAGAGTTCAAGGTAACGACAGAGAAAATTAACAATCGCCCTAAGCAAACCCAGAAAGAAGGAAAACATATGGATTTAGTAAAGACAAAACCAACAATAAAGAAGAAAAGAGAGGAAATACTTGACAACCAAATGAACCCAGCACAGAAAAGTATATTGGCCAAGGAAACTCCAACAACACGACAAAAAAAGCATAATAGAACACAATCAATTTATACCTACAACTAATTATACTCAATGTGAATGGGCTAAATGCACCAGTCAAGAGAAAGAGAGTGGCAGACTGGACAAGAAAAGAAGATTCACTGATATGCTGCCTACAAGAACCACCTTTGACACAAAGATAAAAACAAATTAAAAGGTGGAAAAAAATATACCAAGCCAACAGTAACCAAAAAAGAGCAGGAGTGGCAATATTAATTTCTGATAAAATAAACTTTAAGGTGAAAAACAACAGAAAGGACAAAGGAGGTCACTATATGATGCTGAATGGGTCAACTGACCAAGACGACAATATGATCTATGCACCCAATGAAAGTGCTCCAAAATACATGAAGCAATTATTAATTGAATTGAAAGGGAAAATAGACAACTCTATAATAGTAGTTTTTGTTGTTACGTGCTGTCGAGTCAGACCCGACTCATAGCGACCCCTCCTTGGGTTTCTGAGGCAGTATCACTATGGAAGTAGATTGTCCCATCTTCCTTCTGAGGAGTGGCTGGTGGGTTTGAACTGTAGGACACTTTAACACACCACTTTCAAGGAGGGACATATCAACTAGAAAAAAACTCAACAAAGGTACAGAAGAACTCAACCACACAATCAACCAACTCAACCTCATAGACACATACAGAGCACTCCACACAACAAAAGTATGATTCAAATTCTTCTCCAGTGCACACAGATCATTCTCCAGAATAGATCATATGTTAGGACATAAAACAAGCCTCAATAAATTAAAAAACACTGAAATACTACAAAGCATCCTCTCAGACTACAAAGCTGTAAAATTAGAAATTAATAATAGGAAGATCAAGGAAAAAACATCAAACGTGGAAGTTGAACAATACACTGCTCAAAAACTACTGGGTAATAGAAAAATAAAAAGTGAAATTAAATTCATAGAAACAAATGAGAATGAAGATACATCTTACCAAAACCCATGGGACACAGTGAAAGCAGTACTCAGAGGTCAGTTTATAGAATTAAATGCATACATCAACAAGGGGGAAAGAAACAAAATCAACACTCTAACTCAACAACTCCAACAACTAGAAAAAGAACAACGAAAGAATCCTACAGTATCTACAAGTAAGGAAGTAATAAAGATTAGAGCAGAAGTAAATGAAACAGAAAACAACAACAACAAAAAAGAGAAAATCAACAAAACAAAAAGCTGGTTCTTTGAAAAGATTAACAAAATTGACAAACCACTGGGAAATCTAAGAAAAGAAAAGAAAAAGAAGATGCAAGTTATAAGAACAGTACACGACGACTTCCGATAAGATGGCAAATTAGGCAGACAAGCTCCACAGACCCTCTTCAACAAAGAAAACAGAAACCAATCGACAGAGATACAGAAGATAATCCTGAAGCCTTGAGCTTTGAAATGAAGAATATAGAAGTGGATTAGGCACCAATTAGTGGAAAAACCTGAACGAAAACAGTGAGTACGGAGATGGTTGGAGCAGCTACTCTGACAGGACCAAGAACCTGAATATTTCCGTGGTGTTGTGACCTAAGAATTGACTTAAAGATCAGCCCTGGTCGCCAAGAGCTGCAGGGACGACTGCACTGGTGGCCTATGACTAGGAAGGGAAACAGCAAGAAGGGGGACAATCTGAGCTGTGGACTTTTGGCTATCCAGAGGGCACAGCAATTTTGATTGTTTACAAGCAGCAGCCATTTTGAATATTTAAAGTGACTGAGGGTGTAGCCATTTTGAATCTTTACAAGTGGTGGCCATTTTGGGTACCACAATTCTGAATCTTTACAAATGGTGGCCATTTTTTATTTTAAAGTGACAGCATTCTTATTCGAATTCCAGGGAACTAAGAATAGGCTCTGTTTGCCAAGGATGGCAGGGACATATGGGAAGCTGACAATGGGAAAGGAGACAGGTGGTGAGTGTATAAGTGCTGCCCACTAGCAAACAGAGGAGCACAGCACAGTACCCTGCTTATGTAGATAACATACAAACAAAACAAAGAAAACGAAAATCACAGGCAAATCACTCCAGCATATAATCACCATTAAATATAAACCCCAAAATGAGCAATGCCTCAGAAACAACAGAGCATAAAGAAGCAAGATAAAGCAGGAAAAACAAGGGATCAGGATACAGACTCAAAACACATTCCTGAGGAACATGCAGCATTGAATCTCTCTGATAAGGAATTCAAAATAATTATATTTGTTGTTGTTGTTAGGAGCTGTCGAGTTGTTTCCTATTCATAGCGACCCCATGCACAGCAGAACGAAACACTGCCTGATCCCGTGCCAGCTCCATGATCCCTGCTATACTTGAGCCCATCATCGCAGCCACCATGTCAATCCATCT